ATTTTTCAAACTTTAAAGTTTATAATTAAAGATGAAAATATATTTTAAGGCTATCGCAATGATTTCCAATATTGAAACCACATTTCTAGAAACTATTTAAAAGTGAGCTTTACTTTGATTGTTTACAACCTTGGCTCTATACGAACCGCACCCAAACACAAAAGATCTAAGTGTTAGGTTGTGGAAAGCCCTCCTTCCAAACAGCCCAAAATACAAGCGTTTTTTTGTGGGGTAATTAATTAAATTATCTATGAGAGAAACAATTTAACACTATATTCATATCTTTTGATTTAATTTCAAACTACAATAAGAAAAATGCATTATCTTGAGTTGGAATAGTTGTAAATAGTGAACTGTTAGATAATACATCTCTTACGGATATTTTGATAAATTTTTCTTTTATTTGTATATTTTAAGTGGTTCGAAAGCAGGACATTTGAAACCTCCAAAAACAAAATCATATTGCCGTTGGTCAATTTCGAAACAACTTATGAACTACCGAAGTACAGTTTTTTAAGTTTTGGGCATTCAAACGAGTACTTTCTAACCGAGGGTAAATGAATTAGCAGAGCTCAAAAACCTTGAACATAAGATATCCTAAAATGGGAAAGCTTTCTATGTTTCCTTTTCAACATAGAAGTTCTATGTTCCCCCTTATCCAACGGTCCATTTTTTAATGGAGGGCTAAGATTGCCCCAATCACAATGTCACGTCTCTATACTGTTTTATTTTTAATTTTTTTTTCTATAAACTGTTTTGACACTAAATTTTGGCTTCCATTCCTTTATTAAACTCATACTAACAAAAAATATAAAAAAAAAATATTTTCAATAAAATAAAATAACCAAAATACCCCTGAAAGTTTCAAGGGGTATTTTGGCCATTATTATTTATCGAAAAATTATTGTTAATATTTTTTATAGGTGCACCCTAATGAGAAGATGACACGTACCAAATTTCATATTCAAAAAAATTATGTAAAAAAAACTTAAAATAAAATACTTTGAAACGTTGGATCGAAGATCAAACGGTGAGTGGCTCTCTTGATAAAAAATGGACGACTGGATGGTACGGGGGAACATAAAACTTCTATGTTGTAGGGGGAACATAGAAAGCTTTCCCTCCTAAAATATGACCCATTCTTTAGTATTCAAACTTATTTTGCATCCTTACTTTCCTTTTTAGGGGTGAAATTACCAAATTTAACTTTGGATCCATAAGTTCAGTAATTTGACTGCGAGGTCCCACTCTCTGTATTGTTGCCCATGGTTCGATACTTCAAATAGGGTACCACTTATTTTTTAAAGCAAGATTGAAAAATAAATTTAAAATCAAGAGAGCTTGACCTCATAGTAAAATTACCGAACTTATAGGCCAAAGGTAAATTGGTAATTTTACATAGTCCACACTGTAAAACACCTCCTGTTTTAAAAGTACATGCGAAATACGTCCTCAAATTTTGCCAATTAACCCATACACATTAACCCATGTACAGATACTTGTACTTTGTCTTGGCAAATCAACCCATGCATTAACGGATCAATCCGACTGAGAATTCAATGGAAAATAAAGAATGAATATCACAGTTTCCCATAAAGACACCACGCAAAAAAAACCAGAAAATTGTTTCATGCGGGTGCGGTCTAAAAAGTAGAAAGTATCCATATTAAAGATGGATGCAAGTAAGTGTTCCAAGTATCCATTTGATTCTAATTTATTATCATTATAAGCTAATAATTAAGTTAGTTCTTCTTCATCATTTTTCTTTTCAACAAAATTAGCTTTTTGAAATACATCATTTTGAGAAAGGTATCTACACTCGGAACTATAATGGCCATATTTTTTATAATTATAACATTGAATAGTAGATTTTTCATACATTGAATGATTGTATGGCCTTGAAAAATTACATCTTACTCGTCTTCTTTGAGCTTGTGGGTTGATCTCACACTCCTCCATAGTTGAAGTTACATCTTCCATGTCCTCTCCTGCCATTGTCTTGACATCTTTGGCCTCTTCCGTAAGGAGATTCTTCATTCTCTTCCTTCATTGTAAGTTTTGTTTGTAGTGTATGCTCTAAAGAGTTTGGAGTCTTTTTTTACAATCTTTGTTCATACGCTTGTAAGGAACGTATGTGTTGATCAACAATCATGGTCTCTAAATCTTTTGATTCTTCAATGACTACAACAATGTGCTCATACTTACGATCTAGTGACCATAGTATTTTTTCCATGATTCTAACTTCATTGATATTTTCTTCAATTCTTGTCCATTGATTTAAAAAAACCAAGACACTTGAGAAATATTCTGAAATATTTCCCGATTCATTCATACGCAATGCCTCAAACTCGTCCCTAAGAGTTTGAAGGTGCCCTTTATTCACCTTTCCAACCCTTTTGAAAGAGTTTTGAAGACTCTCCCATACCTTCTTTTAATTTGCAGCAGAAGAAATTTTCTTAAAACCGCTCTCATCAATTCTTTGATAAATAAGAAAGAAAGCATTCTTGTCCAACTTTCTCAACTCCTTTATCATGCTTATTTGATTTTGATCCAAAGCGGATTCTTCTTACGAGGTTGGCGGTTCTACATACCCATTTTCAACAACATCCAAAGCATCTTGAGACCCTAACAATGCCTTCATTTGAATACTCCAATTCTCATAGTTGTTTTTGGTGAGAAGAAGAATTTATAGTTGAATCAAGAGGGCCATTATTTAGCACTTTGGCTTTGATACCACTTGTTAGAAATAGGGAGGAAGAAGGCTTACTTTTACAATTTGTACTTTTGCACACAAAGAGACCAAATCAACACAGTTTCTTCACTCTGCTTATACAAAAACATAGTACATGGATATACAGACCTCTTAGGACCTTTCTAGACTACTTTTATGTCATTCTAGTGATGTTTTTCCTCTCATACATACACCCTATATGCTTGGACGAAATTACAAGGAAATTTAAGAGAATTCTAGACTTCACTTATTCCATATTCAAATTTGCATTGCATGCTTTGGAACATTCACTCTCAAGCTTGGAATTGTGACCTTGGACCTCTACACAATTCTTTTATATTATTTCAAAATTAGCCTTGACTTAACTTTCCCAAAATATCCCTTGCATTTGAATCTAATGTCTAAATTGAACATAATCAAGCTTATTTCTAGTCATTAAGTGGGGAAGACCGGCCCCAATCCATTTTTTCAGATAGATTTGGGAGCAATGTTCGTAAAATCGGCCGACCTAACCGTTAATCGGCTGGTTAGATTGGAACTGGTCGGTTCCACCGGTTTTGGGAGGTTTTGGTGATCAACCGGTTTATTGAAGTTTAAATAAAATATTACGCCATGTTCATGTTAAATACTTTAAAATGCCGTGTTGGTTAGTGTTGTTGATTAAACTTTATATGGAACATGGTTCGAATCCCACCCTAAGCGATTTATCTTTGTAAGAATTCATTACATTGGTTTAGTGGTTTTGTTTTTAAGAATTCATTATATTGGTTAAAAAAAATTACTTACCCACATGAATTCATTAATCCCACCCTAAGCGATTTATCTTTGTAAGAATTCATTACATTGGTTTAGTGGTTTTGTTTTTAAGAATTCATTATATTGGTTAAAAAAAATTACTTACCCACATGAATTCATTACATTGGTTCAAAAAAATTACTTACCCACATGAATTCATTACATTGGTTCAGTGGTTTTGTTTTTAAGAATTCATTATATTGGTTCAAAAAAAATTCATTACATTGGTTCAGTGGTTTTGTTTTTAAGAATTCATTATATTGGTTCAAAAAAAATTACTTACCCACATGAATTCATTACATTGGTTCAAAAAAATTACTTACCCACATGAATTCATTACATTGGTTCAAAAAAATTACTTACCCACATGAATTCATTACATTGGTTCAGTGGTTTTGTTTTTAAGAATTCATTATATTGGTTCAAAAAAATTATTTACCCACATGAGTTCATTACATTGGTTCAAAAAAATTACTTACCCACAGGATTTTATTACTTTGGTTCAAAAACATTACTTGCCCACAGGAATGGAACTTGAAAGTTCTTGTAAAGAAATCATCATTATTAAACCCACTAACTATTACACCATTTACAACTTGGTTGCCTATTAGACCCACTAATCAATTGCGTACTTACTAAAAGAAAGGGCCTATATTGTATATAACTTAATTTTTTAATTTTTTTTTTTTAAAAGAGTTGGTCACTTCGATTTTTTAACACTATTTTAATATTCTTTACATTATGGTAAAGATTAAAAAAAAAGTTGGTCATTGGTACTCAGTTTTATATTTTCTCATTTTTTTTAGAAATTTTTAAAATATCTCTAGGCACAAATCGATTTGTTCTATTTTTTTAATTAATTTTCAACTTCATTTGAGTGTATTTTGTATTGATCACATTCTTTATATGCTTTTCATATATTAGTCATTTTATGTATCTTTTTTATTTTTTTAACACTTTTTTATCGTTCGGACTAGAGCTGTTGAATCCGTCGGTTTACCCGTTGGACCGGTTAAATCGCTTAGGGGTCCAAATCCAATTAACTGTTTCGATTCGATTTTACGAACATTATTAGGGAGTTTGCTTTTTTGAAGTTGTCAATAGGTGATGTGAACAAGATTGAAAGCCACAACGTGGTAACTAGATATGGGAGTTTTACCACGCCCAACTAGACCATTGAAACAAACTTGCCCCCACAAATTTAAAATCGTGATATCACCTTTAAAATTACCTAGATCTGTGTTAGTGAAAGTAATTATACACATGCACGCTTGGAGTAAAGTGAAGAGAATACATACATGCACACACTAGAAAATGAACTACATACCGGCACACACACATGAGGGATGACATTGAAATTAGCTAACCATTAAAGCATAAAGCTGTCAGTTTACCTATTCTTAGCAACGTTACACCAGTTTTATATAGGCAAGAGTCCCTCAAGAGAGCCCCACATCGTCTCATCACGGAACTCATGGCAACCCTAAGGGTCCTCTGTCTCTGTGTCCTTCTGCTCTCCCTCCCTCTGTGCTCTCTCTCAAGACCCCTCTCTCTTTCCAGCCCTTCTTTATCATTTAAAGTAGCCCTCATACACCGTGACTCTCCCTACTCCCCCATACATGACCCCTCGCCCTCGCCCTCCGACCTCTTCAGGCTCTCTGCACAACGCTCCCTCTCTCGCCTTCAACACTTCCAATCAGTCCTCACTGGCAAATCCTCACCGTCAAAATTGGCCTCAGAGGTTAAAGCAGGTTCCTCTGAGTACCTCATGAGGGTCGGGATCGGGACCCCTGCAGAGCCATATTGGCTTATTGCCGACACAGGGAGCGACCTAACTTGGACTCAATGCCTCCCTTGTTCCAATTGCTTTGAGCAAAACGTGCCGATTTTTAACCCCAAATCATCTTCAACATACCTCTCCCTTAACTGCTCCTCAACCCTCTGCCAAAACCTTAAGAATAACCGCAAATGTGGTGGCTCATCATGCCAATACGACTATCATTATGGCGACGGCTCGGCTACCAGTGGTAAACTTTCAACTGAAACTTTCACCTTTGAAACCCCCAAGTCCACCTTAACATCCCTTAAAGCTAGCATTAGTACTAATCCAATTTTCAGTCTCACTACAACTCTTAGTACTGATCCCATGGAAACCAGCACTAGTGCCACTTTTAGTACTGATCGTCGCACTGGTGCCAAAATCAAGGGGCTTGGGTTTGGGTGTGGCAACTCAAATACTGGGGGCTTCGGCCAAAATGGTGAGGTTGGTCTAGTCGGGCTTGGAGGTGGTCCCTTGTCTCTAATCTCTCAATTAGGGAGCTCAATTTCAAACAAATTCTCGTATTGCCTGCCATCAAGGCTCGACGAGAATATGACCAGTGTGTTGAATTTTGGCAAGAATGCCGCTATCCAAACGTCTGATGTTTCAAGCACACCTTTGATTCAGCTCGAAGATTCCCCTACCTTCTTTCTCTTGAATCTAACAGGCATCAGCGTCGGGTCGAAGAGGCTCGACATACCTCCACTTTTCTTTGATCCAACCCAAAGAGGGGAACCGTTCGTGATAGATTCAGGGACCACTCTCACTATCCTGGGGCCTGGTGTTTACTATATACTGGCCGTCGAAGTCGAGAAAGCGATCAATCTTCCGACAACTGATCCTCCCCGCCCATTTAGTCTTTGTTACAAGGTGCCTGATTCTGGTAATATCACCGGAATACCGAATATTACGTTCCACTTTTCAGGCAACGCCGACTGGATAAATGGGCCAGAGAATTCATTTATTCCCCTAGATGATGGACATATGATTTGCCTGGGAATACTAGGTAGTGGTCAGGGTATGTCCATTTTAGGAAATTGGGCGCAGCAAAATAAGTTGGTGGAGTACGATGTTGGAAAGGGAATGCTTTCCTTTGCACCTGCTCGTTCCTGCGAGGTTTAGGGTTTTTTTCTTTGGTTTCATCCGATATTTTTCCACTTACTGTAAAATAGAGAGCTTGCAGGTCCGTGCAATCCCTTTATAGGAAGAAATAAGATGCTAATCAATTTTCTGGAAAATAAATAAAATGAAATCCTCGCCCTTATAAAGATCTCATATGCTTGGTTACATCTTTTGTGGAAATTTTGGATTAGTATTTTTAGAATGATATTAGTCCTGGGCTTCAAAACATGGAAAATATCTCTATACTCTCAATTTTTAGATTTGGGCAATGATCTAATGCAATAGTTGTATAGTAATATGATGCAACAACCTTAAAAAACCACCTTATGGCCATTTGGTTGATCCAAATTTTGATACTTTTTTTATTCTAATGAACAATTACAAAAAAGAAAAATTTGAAAACATAACCTAGAAAGTATTTTTGTAGCCCAATTAACATAAGCCATTCATATTGGTGAGATGCTTAGATCTAGGCATTAGAAGGATGTTTTTCATTTCCAATTTTTTCGGAAGGCTTTATTATCATTTGATAAACAATATTAAAAAAGAAAAAAAATGATTTTGAGTTTATTAAGTCTAAGATCTTGAAATTCACAAAATGAATGGTCTAGATTCTTTTTTGGAGGGGACTCATTTTGACCTTATTTAGGGTTCAAATTAAACATTTTTTTTTTTGAGGATTGATTATTGAGATGAAGAAATTGTATGTGCAAAATTTGGGGTCATAAAAATACCACAAACATGGTTTTCGAGAAGTGTCGTTGCATTATACTATGATGCAACTGTTGCATTAGATCATTTCGCTTTAAATTTTATTTCACAATAGAGCCAATGTTTTAAAAGATATCTTGGGGTATAAAAATTGTAGATTTTATTTCTTCAGAACCTTGAGTTAATTTAAACATATTTTTTAGGCCAAATGAATCTAAAAAAACATGCCTTTTTTAAAAGCCATCTTCCCTTTCTTAACCTGTCTCCCTTCACATTGTTTCTCTCTCCATCTGCCAAACCCATGTTTTCTCTCTCCCCATCTGCCAAACACCTCTCTGTATTTCTTCTATTTTCTCTACCCTTGTCTCTCACTCTTTCTCTTCCCGTGCTCCCCCAACTCTTTCTCTCTCTTGATAGACTAATTTTTCCCCCATTTTCTCAACTCGTGAAACATCTATTGAAGCTTTGTACTCCATATAGAAAAAATGAATGGGAAATACAAAAAGAGAAAAGACAGGGAACATATAAAGGAAAATATAAGGGGAGAGAGAGGGAGGTGTGAGAGATCGGGAGAGAGAGATGGGGAAGAGGGCAAGCGAAGAGGGGAAATATAAGGGTAGAGAGAGAGGGGGTTTGAGAGATCGAGAGAAAGAGATCGGGGAGAGGGTACGGGAAGAGAGAGACTGAGAGACTAGAGGAGAAAAAGAATAGGGAATATATATATATATATATATATATATATAGAAGAGAGAGAGAGAGAAGAGAGAGAGAGAGAGAGAGAGAGAGAGAGAGAGAGAGAGAGAGAGAGAGAGAGAGAGAGAGAGAGAGGACTAGGAGAGAAAAAAAAGTGGAATACAAAAAGAGAGAAGAATGGGAGAGAAAAAATAGGGGAATACAGAGAGAAGGGTTTGGGAGATGGGGGGAGAAAGAACGGGAAGAGAGAGAAGGTTTAGAAAAAGTATGTCTTTCTCGCATTTTTTATGGGAACAGAGAGTGCGAGACGCAGGAAGAGAGAGAAAGAGAGAAGTTTGGGTATATAAGTGAATAGAGAGAAAGGATTGGCTTTAAAGTTCCCAGAGGTTTAGAAGATATCTTTTGAAACCTTGGGTTTATCAATAAATGAAACCTAAAAATATAGGATATGGAGATTTTTCCCTTCAAAAAATATTAATGAAAATGAATTTTTTTTTGTTTTGTTATTTTTTTATTTTAATTTTCACTTGTAAGCATTAAGGGAAGATACATGTCTAGTATGTAACTAGTGTGCTTTCACATGGATTTGTATGTAATGATGTATCATTATGTACATATGGAATATCATATTATACATCATTAAAATCATCATATGTGCACATGCATATATACAATAATTAGGATAAGGCATGGATGATGATATTTGCATATGATAAGGCTCGAATGATGATATTTGCACATGCATACAAACAATTATGCTCCCAAAGGAGTATATTGTTAGGGGTGGTGACATCAGGTCGGGTATGGGTCGGGTCAGGCTGGACCCAACCCCTGACCTAAATAGTATTTGGGTCCAAGTTTTGGACAAGTACCCGAACCGTCGGGTCCAACAATTGGACCCATACCCGTACCTGTCGGGTCTTAGATCTATCCCATCATGTCTCGGGTCTAGTCTGGTCGATTTCCACTCTCACTAAGAGCTTCTTTTTTTTTCGTCTTTTTTTTCCATTTTTTTACCATCATATATACATAACAAGGTCACAATCACCTGTCATTAGATTTCAAGCCAAGCAAATAGGGCTTGAAGTATTTTATCTCTAATAGTTTACAGGTACGAGTCGAGTGCAAATCGAGTCGAAATGGACTTGGATCCAAATAGTTTTCGGGTCCAGATTTGGACACGGACCCGACCCACCAGGCCTAATCGTTGGACCCATACCTAGATCCGTGTGGGGTATACCGCATGGGTCCCAGGTCAGGTTTGGGTCCATTGCCACCCCTATATATTGTACATCTACTGCCTCTGGTTGATGCATATTAGCATGTTTCATATCATAAATCTTTGGACATGAGGATCATCACTACAGAGAAGGAGGGAGAGAGAGTAATAGTCTATAGGATTGATTGTATGCAACAATTTTTTAGTAATATAATAAAACAATATTAAAAAACTATGTGAGGGCCATTTGTTTCACCCAAATTTTTAAATATTCATTATTTTCATTCTAATAAACATTTAGAAAAGAGAAAAAATTGAAAGAATGTATTGTCTTAAGCTAATTAACATAAGCTTTTCATCTTGGTGAGCCACGTAGATCTAAGCTTTAAAATGTACTTTTTCTTTTCAAATTTTTATATAACTCTATTATGATTAAATTAACAATGTTAAAAAAGAAAAAATTGATTTTGAATTCATAAAGGCCTAGATCTTAAAATTCATCAAATGGACGGTTTAGTTTCATTGTTAAAAGGAACTCATTTTAACCATATATATGATGTAAATTATTAATTATTATTATTTTGAGATTAATTATTAAGATGAAAAGGGTGTGTGCAAATTAACCCATGCACAGATACTTGTACTTGGTCTTGGCAAATCAGCCCATGCTAGGCATTACCAATTCATGCCAACTGAGATTTCAATGGAAAATAAAGAATCAACATCACAGTTCCCCATAAAGACACCACACAAAGAAAACAAGACAATTGTTTAATGCGGGCTGGACTGCATATATATGTGTTCCCAAAAGTGTAAAGCATCTATATTAAAGATGGATGCAAGTGTTTCAAGTATCAATTTGATTCTCATTATTATCATTATAAGCTAATAACTAAGTTGGTTCTTCTTCATCATTTTTCATTTTTAACAAAATTAGATTTTTTAAATACATCATTTTGAGAACAGTATCTACACTCAGAACTATAATACCCACATTTTTTGTAATTATAACATTAAATAGTGGATTTTTCATACCTTGAATGATTGTATGGCCTTGAAAAATTACATCTTCCTCATCCTCTTTGAGCTTGTGGGTTGATCTCTCACACCTCCAAAGTTAAAGTTGCATCTTCCACGTCCTGTCCTTCCATTGCCACCACATCTTTGGCGTCTTTTGCGACAAGATTCTTCATTCTCTTCCTTCATTGTAAGTTTTGTTTGTAGTGCATGCTCCAAAGTGTTTTGAGTCTTTTTTTACAATCTTTGTTCATGGGCTTGGAAGGAAGCCATGAGTTGATCAATAGTCATGGCCTCTAAACCTTTTGATTCTTCAATGACTACAACAATGTGCTCATACTTAAGATCTAGTGACCGCAAATATTTCTCCATTACTTTAACATCATCTATATTTTCCCTATTTCTTGTCAATTGGTTTAGAACAACCAAAACTTTTGAGAAGTATTCTAAAATATTTTCGGATTCATTCATAGGCAATGCCCCAAACTCGGCCCTAAGAGTTTAACAGTGCCCTTTTTTCACCTTTCCAACTTTTTTTGAAAGAGTTTTGAAGAATCCCTCGTACCTTCTTTGAATTTGCAATAGAAGAAATTTTCTCAAAGGTGCTCTGATCAATTCTTTGATAAATAAGAAAGAGAGCATTCTTGTCCAACCTTCTAAACTCCTTTATCACACTTCTTTGATTTTGATGCAAAGCGGCTTCTTCTTGCGGGGGTTGGCAGATCTACATACCCCTTTTCAACAACATCCAAAGCATCTTGAGACCCCAACAATGCCTTCATTTGAATATTCCAATTCTCATAGTTATTTTCACTGAGAATGAGAATTTATAGTTGAATCAAGGGGCCCAACTTTTAGCACTTTGGCTCTGATACCACTTCTAAGAAATAGGGAGGAAGAATGCTTACTTTTACGATGTATAGTTTTGCGCACAAAGAGACCAAATCTACACAGGTTCTTCACTCTACTTGTACAAAAAATAGTACATGGATACATAGACCTCTTCGGACCTTTCTAGACTCTTTTAATGTTATTCTAATGAAGTTTTCCCCCTCATAACATACACCCTATATACTTGGACGAAATCACAAGAATATTCAAGCGAATTCTAGACTTCACTCATTCCATTTTCAAATTTGCATGCATTGCATTCTTTGAACTCCTCTCTCTCAATTTTGGAATTCTGGTCTTAAAACTCTACACAATTCTTTTACATTATTTCAAAATTACCCTTGACCTAACTTTCCCAAAATATTCCTTACATTTAAATCTAATGTCTAATTTGAACATAATCAAGCTTATTTCTAAGCATTCAGTGGGAATGACCGGCCCCTATCTGTTTTTTTAGATAAATTAGCGA